GCCGCTTCCGAACCACAGCTACCCCGGGCTTCAGCTGCCGCTTCCGAGCCGCAGCTACCCCCGGTTTCAGCTGCCACTACCAGGTCACAGCTACCTCCGGTTTTAGCTTCCGAGCCACAGTTAAAGCCTGAGTCCTGTGTCTTGTCGGCGGTCCGGCCGACTCCAGCCCCCCGGGTCCTGTCGGCGGTCAGGCCAACTCCAGCTGCCGAATCCCAGCGATCACCAGTTCCTGACCCCGCTGCACCACCATCCGAGTCCTGTTCCCCGGAGCCCCGTGTCCGAGAGTCTGAGTCCTGTTCCCCCCGTCTCCGAGAGTCTGACTCCTTTTCCCCCCGTCTCCGAAAGTCTGAGTCCTGTTCCCCGGAGCCCCGGTCTGAGCCCCAGTCTCCCCAGTCCGGCTTCCCTGAGACCCGGTCTGACTCCCAGTCTCCCCAGTCATGCTTCCCTGAGACCCGGTCTGACTCCCAGTCTCCCCAGTCATGCTTCCCTGAGCCCCAGTCTGAGCCCCAGTCTCCCCAGTCCGGCTCCCCCGAGATCCCGTGTCCAGAGCAACTCCTACCATCCGGCCGTCCCCCTGCCCGTCTGGGGCTGACTTTACTGTGAGGTAAGGTAGACAACCTGGGCATGGGGCCCCAAAATAAAATGGCCCTTAACATTATTATGTTTAGATATAAAAGTATTAAATTATGTCACTATTCTAACTCATTGTACCCTGAAATAATTCACCAAAGGTCCACAAAGCACATAAAACATATACAACTCAACTGTTTACTTCTTACTGTGAACTTCTACTTCAGAGGAAAACATTGTAATAATATATTTACCTGACAGAGAAATGTTTCTGCTTACATTGCAGATTCAAATTGACTCACAAAATGCTATACAAATTATGTTCAAATATGATGCGTTATTATTCATGAAACTATCCAGCATCAGATTACAATTGAATGCTCCACCCTGAAAAGACCTGAACTAAATTTAAGTACTTCGTGCTGTACGTGAAGTAAACATTAGAATGCAAGACTCCGGCCTAATAATAGTTTTACTATTAATACTATTGAATAAGCTTTAAGCATATCTATGATTCAGTCGGGATTTCCTCTGTTCTCAACATGGCCGTTGGCGAGGAGCTAACTGCGCTTACAGCACAAACAGTGCAAACAACGAAATCAGAGCAGAACAGTTTTAAACGGGGGGGGGGGGACCAGAGCAATTAACTAGCCAGTGGGACACACACAGTGGGAGCACAGGCGACTGGCTTGGCTTAACACAGTTCTGTGGGCGGTGGCAACGTTATTAGTTGGCAAAAACAAACACAATTTGAGTTGCGATGACAGAGTTGCTGTTCCTTTTGGGTTATCTGCTCATGCTCGTGTACTCCAGGGTGAATGTTGTGTAAAGTATAATTTTATCCAGCATCCAGCGTTATCAGGCTATATCCAGCAACCAAAGTGAACTGTAGTCTATGAGCTGCTGTCTGACGCTGCAGACTACATGCTGGACCGCAGAGCCCTGAAGCTCCACCCCAGCTGGTACACAGAGTGTTGTTAATTTGGTTATTCAACGTTTTTTTTTATCATTTTTGAACATGTCCCCTGTCCAAATTGCACCAAATGTGACACCCACAATATTGATATATGTGAAAGACAGACAGACAAACAGACAGAAAGACAGATTATTTGCTTTGTAGTTAGATTGTCAAAACAACACAATGCTGCTGTATCTCAAGCTCAGTGTTTACTGTCTGTGAATTACTGTATGTTCTTGCCCCTACAGTGGGCACTTTGGTCAGGTTCGACAGGTTCGGGAGCGGGCTACTGGGACTTGTTGGGCAGGCAAATTCCTGAAGATTCGGAAGAACACGTGCAGCCGCCTGGGCCTGGACCGGAGCTCTGTGGAGAAGGAGGTGGAGATCCTCCAGGCTGTACAACATTCAAACATTGTGACTCTCAAAGACGTTTTTGAGAGCCGAGCCGAGGTGGTGCTCGTTCTGGAGCTGTGAGTTGTGTGTGTGTTTGATTTAGTCCTGTTATTGTAGTATGTTCTCTAGCATCTAGTGTGCGTCTGCATGAAGTGTCATGTGTCATGGCAGCGTCAGTAGGTAGGCGTGAGAATCAGACCTCTGTCACAGCAGACATTTGGAAAAGTGTCGCTAATAACAAAAATGTTGTGCCAGTAAACCCTTTGCTTCCAATCTTAAAGGAACAGTGTCTAACTTTTACTGGGATTTATTGGCAGAAATGGAATATAATACTCATAACTATGTTTTCATTAGTGTATGATGACCTCAAACTAAGAATCGTTGTGTTTGTGTTAGCTTAGAAGGAGCCCTACAATACCTGAATGCCATAGTAGTTCTCTAGATGCTGTGAAAGGGGGGATTGAGGGGAGGGGACAAAATAAGAGAAACACTTAACACATGTCTGTTTGACATTTCAGTGTTAGTGGAGGGGAGTTGTTTGACTTCATTGCTGAGAAGGAGAACCTGCTGGAGAGTGAGGCCATTGAGTTCATGAAACAGATCCTGGAGGGACTGGGCTTTATGCACAGCAAGAACATCGGCCACTTTGACCTCAAGGTACCAGTAAACTGTCGCTTCTCTGCTTGCTCTGGATGTTTGGAAACAGATGTGAACTCAAATTGGACATTCCATCATAACGACATTTGTGTCTCTATTCAGCCAGAGAACATCATGCTGTCAGACAAAGTGGCTGCTCAGCCCAACATCAAACTCATCGACTTTGGCCTGGCCCACCATTTTCATCAAGGGGAGGAGTACAAAAGCACGAGTGGCACCCCACAGTACATTGGTGAGGATGAGTAGTCCTTCATTTGTGTCTTTGTTTTTTTTAGAAATCAATCTGTGAGAATTTTTCTATTTGCATATTAAATCATTCACGAACATGCACTAAGACCGGCAGGTATGAGGCAAGTCCAGGGCTCAAAATATTGTTTTCTGTGTCAATGCACTGATGCAGGACTTCTTTCATATGTCTGTCTGTCTGTCCCTCTCTTTCAGCCCCTGAGGTAATCAACAGTGAACCTCTGAGCACAGCAGCAGATATGTGGTGAGTATTGTTCGATCTCCAACAGAAACTGTTCATATCCATGATTGCACACACAAACATTTGGTATCCAAAGCTTGTCTCTTCACTGCTTTGTCTCTGTATAAATTCCTCTGATAGTGACATGGCAGGGCCTGTTCTGAGCCCCTCTCACTGTGTCAACACAGTGACACATTGAGTGACTGAGGGGATGTCCACGCAGACAGTATTTGTCTTGAAAAAGTTGAAAGCACACCACATGACTGCCTGCGTCTTGTGCTTTTTTCTCCTCCAGGAGCGTCGCAGTTATTACCTACATACTGTAAGTTGTGTTTCTGTGTTGGTTACGTACTGTATGTTGATGCACACATTTAATGATCAAAAGCATCTGCTATCTCGCGCTATTTGAAACGATGTGAATTCAACCACCTTTTTATGGTTTATAGATCTTATAATCATCGTGTCTATTATAGCCTTCAGCTTTTTTCAGCTGGAAGCACAAAAACCTTGATCTGTATTGATGGCCTGAGATGTCTCACTCTGTCCTCAGATTGAGCGGTTTGTCGCCATTCCAAGGTGAGACTGATGAGGAGACTCTGACGAACATCAGTGTCATGAACTACGCGTTCCCTGTACAGTATTTCAGCATGACCAGCTCCATGGCCAAAGACTTCATCCAGAAACTTCTGGTCAAAATCCCCAGGTATGTCGTCTAGCTAGACTCTTTGTCATGGTTAGTCCCCTGTTAGAGCAAAAGCAAGATTGTTGAAATAAGTCTTCACTGGGTCTGTGATAGGAATAGGACGCATGATGTACTGCTGTTGTTTACAGTATATTAGGTTAGATTAGATATATACTTTATTCATCCCCAATATATTGAAACGTGTAGATTGATCGACTGAGTCATTGGTTTATTTAGGTGTCCTGCACCAAATGGGTCCTAGGCTACATAGGCTTCCAAGACATGAGACAACAAAATGAGTTTTACTTGTCAGTTCTTCCTGCTCTCGTGATCCGTTGTCATGACTTCTGTATTGATGTGTATTTCAGTGAAAGAATGACAGCTGAGGATTGTCTGCTTCATCCATGGATTAAGGTTACTACAAGTCTTCTAACCTTCTTCAATTGTTTGCTGCTAAATGTTACTGCGTGTTACTTAGAATGACTGCAAATGTTCGTCTGTTTCAGCCCGTCACACGCAAACAGGTGGCCAATAGGAATCGATCCTCAATCAATATGAAGAACTTTAAGAAGTTCAACGCCAGAAGAAAATGGAAGGTGAGTGTGGATATGTATGTCAAACCAACATGTAAGTATAGTATATTTGTATCAAAGGGAGATGAGGATCAACATGCAATAAGACTCAAACTAGGGGTGGTGCGTTTCGTGGTCAGCGGTACCATTTGAGTTATTTAGCCTTGTGAGCAGTGACAGTCATTATTTCATACCGCCCCTGAGTGTTACATTGACTTTAGGTCATGGACACATAATTCAGGGGATCGACACACTTGAGCCGGATGAGTAGTGGATGGTGCTTCATTTAGTCCAAAATAATGTTGTTCCATTAAGTTTCTTGTGTTGCACTTAACAGCTGTATTAGTGTTCTCAATATAACATTTATATTAATAGTTCAATGGTCACATACATACTTCATATATGGCCTCTGTATTTAACCGTCCTCAGCTTTAGGAGCAGTGGGCGGCTGTAAATCGCCCGGGAATCAACAAAAATTCAGCTCAAGGACACTTTAACATGCAGACAGGAGGAGTCTGGGATCGAACTGACCCGCTCTACACCCTGAGACACAGCCGCCCCCAATAAGCTTTTACTTAAGAAAGCCCAGCAGTGTTTTCACCTGTAAACAGCACTGTGATGTAATTGTGTTGCCATTATTAGTAGAAGGCTAAGAAAAAAAAATATTGAAGGTCAATAAAAACATCTGTGTTAAAATCAGAGAAGCACATGAACAAAAATGAGTGTAATATGTTCTAAGGTCAATTACCCAAATCTTATTACAAATAGCTGCCTCACCCCAAATATCCACTGCATGTTTTTATTGATAATTATAGACACACTGTAGCGGTCCACTGGCGAAAAACCTGATGGCAATCGGGGGTCCTTCTTATTTTCATCTTTTATTCAGCGACAAAAGTAATTTTCAGAAGGGCAAGACACTTTTCATCTTCTGTCCAGAGTCCTGCAGGTTTCCAGTTCTACAAACCTGAAGTGCACCCGCAATGCTCACCATCGGAACTGACCCGTTACCTGCAATTATTTCTAAATCAATTCTGTAAAAAAGGCTAACCAAACATGCTCAGAGCTCTTACTGTACAGGCAAAGCCTGAAGGGGTCTACAACAAGGAACTAAATAAATGTTAAAAAATGAATAGATGAAGTGGCAGATTGCACAGACAGAAGCACCCTCCACCATTTCAGTCAATTCATATTTTCCCTTGTGTTTCCTGCTGCTCACACAGACACACAATAGGATGGATACCTTCATTCATTGTTACATCCTCTGACACAACAACGGGATATAGCCGTTAACTGTCCTTGTGTGCTTTTCTGACTGGTGAGCTGTTCTGAAAGAGTCACTGTTGACATTGAGGCTAGTCGTCCTGTGTGCTAATTAGGGGTTCCACACTGGGTCTAGCTACCTGTTTTAATGACCGGAATAAATGAGAATAAAGTTCTGCCCCATCGAAGTATGATCCTCGGACATAGTACTAACGTTCATGTATTCTGGTTGGCTGGCAAGCTTTACTTAACACTGTAAGACATTGTCTCTTTACCCCCTAGATGTCCTATAACATGGTGTGGATGTGTAACCGGCTGGTCCGGTTGAAACTGCTGCGGAAGGGCAGTTCAGATCCAGATCCTCTACAGGTGAGACCACTTTATGTCAGTCACATATTGATACGTATTTATTTTTCTGTTATTGTAAGAGATTGCTCTGGTTGTTTATTGTAGAGACCAAAAAAATGTAGAGAAAACATTATGTGTAGGCCTGGGTGGCCAAACTGCCAACTGTGGCCTGCTGCCCATTCTTAAATGGCATGCGATTCATTTTTTTAAATAAACTGGAATATGGCTAAAGCATATTTGTAGTAAATGTTACTGTGCACATACTAGTTTAAACACTTCATGTCAACTCAATTCATTGAAGTCATTTCTGTCTTAAACTCTTCAGATTACATTGACGTTGTAATCTCAAATTGGCCCTTAGACCATGAACCAATATTTAGCAATATCTACCTGTTTTGACTTAACCTATTTACAGATTTACACATAACATCATATCATATTTTAAGTGGCCATGCAATGTATTGGAGTTGTGAAGTATTGAATTAATTTAAAGTAAATTTAAGGGCAGCACATATAGAAATACTTTTTAGTAATATATGGGCACTATAGACTGTCATGTCAAATGTTAAAGTGTTGAGTGGTCAGTGTAGTTTGATAGAAAATTAATCTTCTTTTGCACATGGGGTTTTCTGGTCAATAAACACTGATTGTCTTGCAGTGTAACTGGTTGAAAGCTACACATTCACTTTAGTTTGACTCTTGACTATTGTGGTCCACGATCCAGAACGTTTGGCCATCCCTGCTGTAGCAGCATTCTCTCGTCCCTTGACTCTAAAGCTTCTAACAGCATGCTTATCCACAATAAAGGAGAACCAGTAATAACACTGTTTTCAAGCATCATCAACATCATCCATGAGAGCAGTTCTTTCCCAGTCGTTGTCGAGGCTTGGACTTGGCAAATTTTCGCATTTCTATTTGCACAGTGATCACTAGCGTCGTTTGCAAAAGCACATGAGGGTCATTTGTTAAAGACAAATTATTAAAGAGGATTTAAGAATAGGATAAGTGGGACACCCGATAATTTGGGGAAAAGTAAGTGAGCTACGTAGATCTTTTAGAGATAGAATAGGTTTTAGCCAAACCCAATTTAGACCACCTGCCAAAATGATCTCGTTGTGAAAGTAGCTGTGACAGTGTTGGACGTGCAACCGCTGCCAGCGCTCTGTAGCACCCTACTACAGTAATAAAAAACCTTAATATATAGGGCAAGGAACTCCTATTGCTTACTGATTTAGAGAACACAGCGTTCACTAGAAAGTTAATAAACATTGTACCCTGCAATAGAGTTGACTTCATCCGAAGTAGAGTTGGTGTGCCAGGTTTTGGATAATCAATAACATAGGTCATCAGTTGATTTGGCCCAGATACATAACGAATACATTTTAGGGTGAGCAGTATGTGTATTCAAAGTGCATTTTGTATGTGTTAACTGCATGTCAAATTATTCAGAAACCACAAGTTACCGTATGATCGGTTGCTGACAAGCAATGTAGCATTTAAGAGGTTATTTTTTAAAGGGAGTCCGGCACAGTGCTCCCTCCACATAAACACATTGGGGCTACATTACATCACTTCTAGCAAACTTCCCAGTGAACAATGAGGATCTGTTCTTCTATCTGAATATCCTCTGGTCTAGCTCAGATAAAAACACAACACTGAGTCCGTCAGCATGTTGGCGAGCCTGTTTGTTTCCGCTACTGACAGCATTATCTTCACTTCACTTGTTCAACTAGCTTTAGCAGTTTAGAAAACACCGAACTGTTCTAGTGTTATACAGACATGTGAATGATCCACAGACACCTTCTTCGTTCTTGGACTCAGGGCGGTGCTCCGCTGCAGAATGAATGTAGGGGAATTTCTAGAATGGATATTTGGCGTTATTTCTTAAATATATATTTTTTTGCATGGCAGGAGTTATGTGTATGTAAGAGTGAGTTATTCAAGGCATGCATATATATATATATATATATATATATATATATATACGTATACGCACATGTATGAGTAGTTTAGATGGTCTCATTCAAATCCATATTTCCAGTTCCAGAAGTGCAGATGTATATGACACTCATAATCGTGAGGTGTTAGATGTAAATTAATCTGTACTGATCCTTTCCTCCAGAGACAATGTGAAAGCGACGTAGAGGACACAGAAAGCAAGCCTGCCTCTCTGCTGCGTCGAAGACTCAGCAGCAGTTCATAGAGCTGAGCAGAGAAAAGCAGAAGATTCCAGGATGTTCAGCAGGAGGGGAGCATCGCTGAAGGGAAATGTTCAAGTGAAACAGACGTCTACTGTCCCAGAAGTGCTTAGGATGGTAGTGAGCACTGCCTCATCTGACGCACATTTCTTCATGAAAGACCTTCAGTGGACTGCTCTCAGCTCATTGTCACTGAGGATACATGCCTTTAATGTAGCTTTTTGGGAAGTGTACAATGTATTTGCGTGGTTGCTGATTTTGGGAAATTCTTTGATAACAAAATGTGCATTTTCTATGCACATTGTGTTATCAAAGAGAATAAAAAATTGTTTAAGATGTCCTGCGATAATACTAATGGTAAAGAACACAAGGAACAGTAAAAAACCTAGCAACAAAATATAATAGAGCCACTGTTGTCCATCAGTATGTAGTCAATGTACACAAACTGTTACCAAATCTTCTTCTCTACCACAAGTCCTGCCTCCTTCTTTTGCTATCGTGAGAGAGGCTGTAGCTTCAACCGGTTGTAAGAAGTGCCAAAGCTCCGTCAACTAGATGGGCATGAAGGCTCAGTGAGGAAGACACCGTCCACCTGTTCTGTGCACCAAAATACGGGACAGATTCTGTCTCGTTTTGATTCAGTAAAGGACAGTGCATTCGATTTTTCAATATGGGACAATCCCGTATTTTAAGCCGATAAGCTTCTATAGCCTGTCGTTATTTTGACTTGTAAAAAGTTTGGACTAAAGTGTGGGGTCTTTCCTTTTCTCTCTGTCCCCCTCGCTTATAAACACCTTAGTTCTGTTTGGGACTGTCCTTCTAGTCCAGGATGCCTCCCTCTGAAAAGCTGAGGGAAGCAGCTGTGAGCTGCACTTTATCGGAGGCGGTCAAATGAACATTTGTGTGGACAATAAACCACACAGTGGTGAGAGTTATTTTTGGTCACATTTGTCTTCTGTTTTTGTTATTCTGTTTGTTTACGGCCTCCCATGAAAAGCAGCGTGCAGTTGCTTCTCGAAACTTTGTCTCATTCAGAGTCCCAAACAGGATTCTGTGTCCGTCAGATGGCTGAAGGGGATTCTACCATATCAGCTGACTATTGGACAGGTAGAATTTTGCTTTAAATAATATGACTTCATCTTATTACGTTATAACTTTATTTTTGTAATATGACTTATTTTCTCAAAATAATACTTCTCCAAGAACAGAGATTTGTGGAAAATGTTTTGAATGTGCAGTAAGGTTTGAACACGAGCTGAAACTCTGTGGCTGATTCCAAGCTCAAAGTAGGAACTGTGGAACTCAAATCCACTGATCATTTTTCACACTGGAGAAGATGCAATATTTGAATGAGTACTTACAACAATATGTCTTGTTTGATGTCTTGTACTCATGTATTATATTACTTGTCTTTTGATGTATCATTTTAAAATGGCACCATCATACATGTGTTGTAAGAAGTTCACCACGTACACATATTATCTTTTTTATTGTCATCTGTCATCTCATCCAAGACTTAAACAAGTATAACCCATGTTATAACTCGTGTGCATGAGTATGTTTGTTTTGCTGTATTTGTCTGTTAAGTGCTTCATTTCCTTTACATCTCATTCAGTTGATTAATTTCACAAAGCAAATTGCAGTAAATGTACAACAATGAAACTGCAGTGACTTTAATCACTGTTATGAGCTATACTTGAGTCTAAATATATATAGAATTTATTTACATACACCATGATCTTAGCCTACTTTCCATCAACTACAGATAGTGAGACAGAAAAATTGAAGCCAATGCAGAAGTGCCTTTAAAGGTGCATTCTTTCTAATGGCCATCAGGGGGCGACTCCTCTGGTTGCTTATAGAAGACCGATTGTGTAGAAGTCTATGAGAAAATGGCTCTACTTTTCACTTGATTTATTACCTCAGTAAACTTTGTAAACATGAGTCATGATAAGAGTGAAGATGAATAAAGCTGCTGGGCCTGATAACATCCCTGGTCGTGTACTAACATGTACCAACCAGCTAACTGATGTCATCACTGACATTTTCATCATATCTCTGTCACAGGAGAGAGTTCACATCTGCTTCATTGTTCCTGTACCTAAAACATCTGCAGTGTCCAGTCTAAATGACACCCAGCCCCATTCTGGTGAAGTGCTTTGAGAAACTGGTTCTCCAGCACATCAAAACCAACATCCCAGCCAGCCTGGACCCTCACCAGTTTACATACAGAGCCAACAGATCCACAGAGGATGCTGTCTCCACTGCTCTCCACTCAGCCCTCACTCATCTTGAAAATAACAACACCTACATCAGAATGTTGTTTGTTGAGTTCAGCTCAGCCTTCAACACAATCTCCCCCATGAAACTGGGGAGTGGTAAACTGAGCATCCTGGGCTTGAGTGAGTTCCCCACTCTGCAAACAGACTTGGGATTGGCAGCCACACCTCCTCCACTCTTGTGTTGAGTGAAACGTTTGACTACACCCATGTTTAGTGCCTCCCTACCTGTTAGACTCACCCAACGGCACCTGCTGGTGGCGAAAGCAGTGCAGCGCATTCCCAAACGTCACTTTTAGAGAATAATTATTGCTTGCATATAAATAAATAAGGATGCAACTGCAAATTGACCTGTTAGATTAATTAAATTCAATTATACAAAAATAACTGGGGTCCCATATAAACAATGTCAAACAGTGGGACATACTAAGAGTATCAATGAATATCTCATATTGGCAGCACAAACTAATTATTTAAATGTATATGATAAAATACTTATACTTAATAAACACAACACTTTTAATATGATTTCTCTTTTTAACTTGCCATCATTTGCAGCCTTTTTAAAATATTCTTTTGTCTGGTTCTAGTGCATTGTAGCCCACCAATTATTTTATTTAATATGGGTCATTATTTACTGAATGTTACAAGTTTGAAATTGTATTATTTTATTATTTATACATGGCTACTTACCCTAATTTATAATGCTATTGTTTTGTACCTTGTGTTTTACTTAGACCATAACATTTTCCTCATGAGAATGTAAACATTCTGACAAGCTAAATGTGCTCTGTACAGGTTTTACCAGCTCCAGTGGAGAGACCCGAGACTCAGGTGACTTCTATGTCATCTTTACTTAACAACATAACAAACTTAACAAATAATCACAACAAACAACAACAAGGCTCAACTCCTGATATTTAGCTTCACTGCTGTTCCTCAAAATGAGCAAGATGTTCTATTTCATCCTTACTGACCGCCAGAGGCAGTGCTTCACACTGGATATCTTCCGTCTCGCACATGCGCAGGTCGAATATTTATACCAACAAAGTCACCTGTGACCTCGGATGACCCCCGTCGTCTTTAAGTTCCGGTGTCATCCTGAGTTCAGTCCTTTTTCATCTTCTCGCTACGCAGGTTAGCTACCATGGTAGCATAAACAAAGATGTGTCTACGATCAAGACATATTAGAGCTTGTCGCTGTAGCCTTGTGACTACCGGTCGGAGTTGCGGATCTCTCGCCCTCCAAAGGCTGCGACAAGCTGTCCCTCTTAGGAGGGAGTGGTGTGTTCACCGTTCGGACATCGAGCCCCGGACTGGTGGACGCCCCTATCATCAGTTGTCACCAGTCTGATAAGGGCCACCTAAGTCGTGAAGACAGCAATCGGTGAGATCAATTAACATTGTTTTCTATAACCGTTGTTCGTTTTCCACGGTTGGCAGAGCGCTTCCGCTGTAGCTAATCAAGTGGCGTGCTAACGAGAGTGTAGAATATACGCTGTCGGCCCGCCTTTCACAGTGAGCAGAGTGTCCTGCTCAGACTAACTTGATGAGATGCAAGTTCGACTAGATCGACATTAGCATTATGTCCACTGGTTTCGTAACATTACGGCTGTCACAGTGAGCAGAGTGTTCCTGCTCAGGCAAACTTGGTGAGAGACTAGCTCGACTAGATCGACATTGGCATTGTGTCCATTGAGATTTCATTTTTACATCTGACATAATTCACAATTAGCAGTGTCTTCACTCAGGCTAACTTGGTGAGATGCTAGCTGGACAATGCTGATACTGGGACTGTGTCCATCAACTTTGTAACCTTACGGCTGTCACAGTTAGCAGAGTGTTCTCGCTCAGGCTAACTCAGTGAATGCTAGTTATACTAAATCAACATTGATGTTGTGCCCATTGATGCTTTTTACGCATTACGGCTGTCGCAGCTGGCAGTGTCCTCACTCAGGCTAACCTGGTGGGACACTAACTAGACTAAGTTAATACTGGGATTGTGTTCATTGATTTTGTAACATTACGGCTATCACAGTTAGCTGAGTGTCCTCGCTCAGGCTAACTGGTGGGTCACCGATATCTGCAGCAAATATCGTAGTGAAGAGAGTGTCCTCGCTCCCCTCTCACTGTAGGGACTGTTTTTTGGGTCTGTTTCCACAGTGGCAGAGTGCTCTCGCTCAGGCTAACTGGTGGGTCACCAATATTCACAGCGACTGTCCAAGTGAAGAGAGTGTCCGAAAAGATCACTCTCCTCTGACTGCCCCCTGCCTGTTCTCTCAACATTCAGCACAGCGGTCCCGCTCAGACTGATTTGGAATTCCGCATCAACTAGTGGGACAAGGGTTCTACCAGTATCGCGGCCATGTTAAACTCTCCCGGCTGTAGGACCTGTATAGCTCCTCTTCAGCCTGAGGACGGCCCTGACCTCTTGCCTTAGCCTCGAGCATCTGAGGGAGGGCCTCTCGGAGAACCCAGGCAGGACCTGCGGCATCACGCCTTGAGCAGTAAGGTCTGCTAGGCTGGCCGAAGTGGAACACCTGATGCGTGAGGTCTACCTCCCACTGTCAGGGCAGCTGAATCCAGCCCAACCTACCCTGATCATTTGTATGGCGCTGGCACGCCTACAGTGGGATACACAGCAGCTGGAACTTCCACCTGTGAGTGCCTTCTTCAGGTGCCTTCCCGCCCTCACCACCTTTTCTGTTCCTCCCTCAGAGGAATATCTGAGGGAGTTGCATGCATGCTGGAGAGACACCAGGGCTCTCTCCCGCCTTACATCAGATGGCGAACCCTGACGGCCATGCAGGAGGTGGCAAAATTTGGCCTTGCACATATGCCAGCCATTTAGCCGACTATTGCGTCCATCATAGTTTCCCCTGAGGAGACTCTGAGGCCCGATGCCAGGTGCCCTCGACCCAACGTCGGGTCAAAGATGACCTGCTATCCAGGGCTTATGACACAGCAGCGCTGTGCACCGTATCGACAACAGTCGATAAGGAGATGTCTCCGGGCCGGCTGTCGGGGTTTTTCTCCCAGCAGCAGATTTCCAAGGGAGAGTGGTTCACATCTATCGACGCCTATTCCCATGTTCCCATGGTGCATCACCACGGGCAGTTTCTACGTTTCGCCTTTTAAGGCCGCCACTTTCAGTCCAGGGTGCTTCCATTCGGACTCTCCCATCTCCCCATGGGTGTTCACAAGGTGTGTTACTGCTGTCCTTTCCCCTTGCAATCACAGGGCGTGAACATACTGCCGTACTTAGATGACTGGCTGACCTGGGTGCCATCCCGGCTTCAGGCGCCACAGGACACTGCTCGCCTTCTCTCACATGGCCCGGTGGGCCTCAAGGTGAACATGGAGAGGAGCTACCTGAGCCCTTCTCAGAGCATAACCTTCATTAGTGTGGCCCTATGAGGGCCTGTCCGTCACCCCAGCATGTGGACAACAACCCCCACAACCTCCCCCTTCCGAGGAGGCAGACGGTTGCCCTACATCCTTTTCTCCGACTATTGGGTAAACTGACAGCTGCCTCAACTGTCGTTCCCTTGGGTTTGCAGATGGCTGAACAGCCTTCACTTGGATGCCAAGTGGCACAGATACAGGGCAATAATATTATCAAAACAGTGCCTACTCACTATCTCCATGGAGGGAGAGTGCATATCTGGCAAACAGTGTCCCCATGGGCTCGGTTCCATTCCACCGGGAGATTGTCACAACAGATACCTGCCTCTCAAGGCGGGGTGCAGTGTGACAGAACAGACAGCTTGGGGGCAGTTGTCTGCACAAAGACCGCAGGGGCAGGTCAAGGTTTTAGAGCTATCGCTCAAGCACTTCCTTCCATATTTGAAGGGAAAGCATGTGCTTGTCCGGTTGGACAACACCTCTGCTGTGATTTCACATAAACTCTCAATGGGGCACCAGATCTACAGAAGTTGCTACGGGGATCACCGTGCCCTTCTGACTTGGGAGGCCCCTCGCCTGACCAGCCTGTGGGCAATGTACCCCCCAGGAGAATGGAACCAGGTTGTGGTTTTCCTGTTCTGTCACAAGCCTCCACCGTGAGAGTGGCGGCTGCATCCAGACGTGTCGACCCACTGCCCCCACTGGGTCTCCCTGATGGAGAGGACCAGTCCTCTGGGTCAAGATGCTTGTCAGAGTTCTTCCCCGACAGGAGGGATCTCCTGTCGCAACTAGAAGGTCGGATTTGGCAATCCAATCCCTGCCGCCTTCAACTATGGGTCACGGGAGGGCCCGACCGGATGCTGAGTGGCTGCATAGAACCAGTCAGACTGACTATTCTGAATGCCAGCGCGATCTACCTGCCTGCAGTACAAGAACAGGTGGAAGCTGTTCTCTGACTGGTGTGCGGCTCAGAACAGGGTCCCAGTACAGCGCCCCGTGCCTGCTTACTGAGTTTCTACAGTCCCTCCTAGATAAGGGCCGGTCTCCCCTTGGTACTGGACACCTTATGCTCGTCTCCTTTTGAACCCCTGGCACAGGCGGAGCCGAGATGGCTATCGGCCAAAACGTTTTTTCTCCTTGCCGTCAATTCAGCTCAATGTGGGGGCGGGCTGCATGCCCTGTGGGTGAAAGAATCGTGTCTGAGGTGGAACTCAGATGGCTTGGGTGTCACTTTGTGGCCTAATGCAGTGTTTCTCCCAATGGTGTTGATACGTTCACATATCAACCAGCCTATCCAGCTGGCAAAGTTGACCCCCCCATCGGGAGAGGAGAGGTCAAGGCTGCTGTGCCCAGTGTGGGCCCTCAGAGCTTATGTGGAAGCCACCGTCTGCATACGGCAGTTGGAGCAGCTCTTTGTCAGTTATGGTGAGCCTATACATACAAGGCGAGCGACTGCGCTCGGCCATCCGGGGTGAAGGGTCACTCTACCAAGAGTGTCTCCACGCCAAGGGCAGCCCTGAGAGGTGTGCCTGTGGAGGATATATGTGCTACGGCCTCATGGGCATCACCGAGCACATTCACCAAACACTACAGAGTTAACGTTGCCACCCCTCACCCACTGGGGAGGGTTCTTTGGCCAATTTTCTCTGCCGGAGCTATACGAGGTAGTTACTGTGATTCCTCGTGACTCTTTTGGTATAAGTCATCCAGTGTGAAGCACTGCCTCTGGTGGTCAGTAAGGATGAAATAGAACGAAATGTTACGAATGTAACTACGGTTCTATGAATCCTGGATGACCGCCAGAGTTCTTGGTCACTCGGAATCCCGTGAACTCACGAGAAGATTCCATTGGACTGAACTCAGGATGACACCGGAACTCATAGACAACGGGGGTCATCCGAGGTCACAGGTGACTTTGTTGGTATAAATATTCGACCTGCGCATGCGCGAGACGGAAGATACCCAGTGTGAAGCACTGCCTCTGGCGGTCATCCAGGATTCATAGAACCGTAGTTACATTCGTAACTTTCGTTTCTTTTTTTTTTTGTCGACTGCCTTCATACAGGAAAGCTCATAGTCGGTTTGTTACTGTAGTGAAAACATGAATGGTTCTAAGAAGACAATGGTTTCCTCCTCGTCCTGGCCAGCATCCAACCGCAGTTCTGTAAGGGCAGTTTTGCAGTCTTCTCCATCCACCTCAAGTAATCACCAACTACAAACCTAAAACACCCTACTCCATGAACAACGACCTCAGATCAGACGAGACAACCCGCTGAATTTAAGCATATTACTAAGCGGAGGAAAAGAAACTAACAAGCAGCCTAGCAGCTGAACGAGTGCTACTGTAGATTTGAAAGACAATTGGACAGTCCTGAACCCACCCCCAAAGGCTCCATCAACCAGCCCCAGACCACCAAGCCCCCCTCCTCCAGCTCAGCAGGGGCTCATGCCTCTGTTTCACTCATCCCATCTCGCTGTACACCAACAGCTGCACCTCCAGTCACCAGTCCGTCAAGCTCCTGAAGTTTGCGGATGACACCACCCTCATTGGACTCATCTCTGGTGGGGATGAGTCCGCCTACAGGTGGGAGACTGACCATCTGGTGACCTGGTGCAGTCTGAACAACTTGGAGCTCAACACTCTAAAGACAGTGGAGATGGTTGTGGATTTCAGAAAGAATGCAGACACTGTGGAGTCCTTCCGTTTCCTGGGCTCCATCATAACCCAGGACCTCAAGTGGGAGCTTAACATCAGCTCCATCACCAAGAAGGCTCAGCAGAGGATGTACTTCCTGAGGCAGCTGAAGAAATTCAACCTGCCAAAGACAATGATGGTGCACTTCTACACAACCATCGTTGGGTTCTGTCATTTGCATTGAATGAGTCGTAACTCTGTTATGTTGTTCATTCTGTACATGACATCTATCACACTTCTGTCCATCCTGGGAGAAGGTTCCTCCTCTGTTTCTTCCCTTTCTTTTTGAGGGGGAGTTTTTCATGTTCTAATTTGAGGGTCCTGGGACAGAGGATGTCGCATGTGTACAGATTATAAAGCCCTCTGAGACAAATTTGTGATTTTGGGCTGTACAAAAATAAATTGAATTGAATTGGATTGAATTCCTCATCAGCAACTCCCTTCATCACCACCACCACCACCAGTGTCCAGGGGGAGTATGCCTTATCTGACCTCAGCATCACTACCCCGCTGTTATACTACATCACAATCGAGTCCAATCGCCAAAGACTTTTCACTCTTCATATCTTATGCATTGTGTAATAAATTATTGTTCATTCTAATGAAGTCTCTCCCGATTAAAATGTCTTTAAAAATGTACTTAAAAAAAGACACGCTGTCACACACTGAGAGCATACAGCGGCCGCATTCTACCACATGGGCACATTTCTCCAGGGGCCCTGTTGGAATCCTCTATAGGTCCTTAACAAATACTAAATTAGTTTACTCCTTCTTTGCACACGCAGTATAGGTTTGCCAAAACTGGACCCACATTAGGACACCATAAACACAATCCTGTCAGTGGTTGCCTTCCTTAGAAAACATATATCACATACCAACATCCCTGTCTGGCATTACAGAAACATCTACTGAAGCTTCCACTTCTGATTCTGTCAAAATAAATTATGAGAATAAAATTATAATTACTCCTAGTCATTTTTTGAGACTGATGCTAGTCTCAATCTTATAAACTTGCTAAGCTCCTGTGTCTCTGCAATAAACAAACCCTTTTTGTCACTCTTTAACTCTTAAATTGGCACTTAAGAGCATTCCTCTGAAGTATTGACTCGGAGTGCATAGCGCGTCCGCCTAAGGGATTTATACAAGGGGAATCACTTATACAATCGTAATCCCTGCAATTGATATGAGATGTGTCTTTTAGATCTCCAGCAATATGTTTGTGAATGTGTGACGAATCAGGCGACAGAGACAGAAAACCGCTGCAGCTGTTAAGCGAACACAACACACGCACGGAAGGGAAACCAGTAGGTCCAGAAACCAGTAGGGAGGTAACATCGACAATGTTTTCATGTTACCGGGAGATATGACTAAAATACAACGAAAATTATCAATATCTACTGGCTAATTTGAAATGATGCAACAGCCCCCAGTGGGTGTTTATGGACGTACTAATGTGTTTTGGACTAAATCTTTTACTGGATTGGATCGAGTGGACTGTTAGCGACCAAGCAAGACCGTTTTTGGTGGAGTAGCATGCACGAGGGAGACGTTATGAATCATAATCGGTGAGTCACGGCGATATTTTATCGGCTATTTTTGCAGTGTTTGGTTGACAGAGACGTTAACTGTACCTGCTGTTGTGATTGTATCTTGAAATGTTTGCATAAATCGAATTACAAGAACCATAGATTTCTAATGAGATATCGCATCAGTACCTGTCTTGACAGAGCAGTTGTGTACATAACATAACTGTACACTGAACACTCTGACGGCCCGCGGGCGGGCCGTCAGAGTGGCAACAGGTTAAAACAATTATCAGCTACAGTGTGAAAGGGTCACAATCCAACACCAGGCTTCAACGAGGAGCAAGTTTAGTTTGAAATAACTTAAATAAATAAAAAAATGGGAAATGGATAATACTTGTATAGAGCTTTTCTAGTCTTCCTTCTTCAAAGCACTTTGACACTGCATGTCATTCACCCATTCACACCCATGCACACGGCAGGGGTACCACCTGCCCATCAGGACTAACATTCATACCCACATACCACAGGCACAGCCTACGGGTTGGAGTTCAGTGTCTTGCCCAAAGAAAAATTTAAAAGTTGTGTGGCTCCTGTACTTGTTGGCAACAAAAAACTACTTAATACTATAATACGTGACAGAGTCACAGTGGAGTATTACTACTTTTACTTAAGTAGAGATCAGAGTACTTCTTCCATCACTTTGTGACTAGTTTATTGAAATATCAAAAAGGTTTTTTTTCATTCATGCACACATACTTTTCAGATACAGTTCATGTAGTGTAGTGCGTGCAACACCATGTCCATCACCTGGTACTGTCCGTCTGTGGCTTTCTGTCCGTCTTTCTCTCCACAGTGACTTTAAGAAGCGTTCAGAGTTTTAATTTATCGTAAAGAGAGTCATTTAGTGTTGTAGTTTGTATAGGAGCCACACTGTAACCAAAATGATGTTTTGCAACGTGAGCTTTGTAGAATAAAGTACAACTCCTATGATGTATTTCATATTATAAATCATACTACATAGGTTATCATCTTGCCTTTCCTTATTTTTTTCCCACCTGAAACTGTAGCTACCATGTCTCCTCTATTTTTCCTGCAATGAGTCACTCAGTGCCGATGACCGTCAGACCCCCCCACTGCATTTTTTTTTGAGCTTTAAATCATTTCAAATTCTATTCGGGGCTATACTCAAAACATTTAGGGTTTAATCCCCAGCACATTGATCTAGTGAGGCCTACAGAAGAGCCTGTGCCGGAGACACAGTGTTAAGTGTAGTGTCAGATGTTGCTCGATATTGCAGTGTACCTAACCATCCTGGCTTCACTCAATCCTCGGCTCCTCCTGTCTACATGTCCAAGTGTCCTTGAGCGAGACACTGAGTTGTACAGCACCCCACTACTTCTAATGCTTAGGATGGGTTACATGCAGAGGTCAATTTGCATCTATTTGTATGTTTGTGACCATTAACAAATAAAGTTTAGTGAGGCGTTTGAGGTTTTTGTGTCCACGATTTTTGATATGCTTATGCAAACAGTATGTAACAAGAACAGCCATGGACACAGATTCCTTAACTCAAGCTGTCTTCCCTCACTTGATTAACTCTGGTTGATAACAGAGTTGATACAGAAGGAATACATGAAAAGTGAAATCCGATTAGACAGAGACAAGAGAACAATTGAAGAGGAGCAAGTTCAACTTTCATAAAGAAAGTGCTAAAAACAAAGTACAACCGGCACACACACAACGCAATAGTTGAGAAATTAGAAAAAAGATCGATGAGACGGAATTGGTGGTGGTGGTGGGGTCTTGAAACCTCAACTTGGCAGGATGGTGGAGCTTCTGGATTTTTAGCTGAAAACACAAGACGCAAGAGTAACTAACCACATTTATCATAGCAGAGTATTTTTACATACTTTCAAACATGTCTAAAGGGGAACTTATTAGAAGTAATAACAATGTTCCAATTATTTTTTTCTGACATACCACTGTCTATGATGTTGCATGATTGCATGTGAGCAGCACAACTGAAATCTCCCTAGATAATTCTCCATGACAGAACAGAACCAAATATGTGTGTGCTTAAATTAAAACTGAACAGCTCTGAGGACCACAGGATTCCAGACACGGAGAGAACTAAATAAACTTTAAATTAACAAATCTGAGGCAAGAAATTGCCAATCCAGTTGCTAAATCTTCACTCATATTAGATCTATGAGGCCAAATTTAAAAGTTTGTTTCAACTTTCATTGTGTAGCGACTTGTTAAAGGAGCCATTAATAGCACTGAGGCCGGCAACAGAGAGAGACAGGTTCTCTGTTGCCTTATTTAGACCTCACCACAGTGGGTGATTGTTGGAGGAGACGAGACTAAACAAGACGGGTTTGATAAGTTTTATTTTGTTTCAGGTACAACTACTGTGTCTTGCAATGGAGTCTGCTGGCTTTGAGGAGAGCTTGTTAATTGTATGTTGTGTAGGTTTTTATATATATTTTTTATTTTTATAAAAAAGGAATACAAAATAAATATTTTCTACTAGTAATTGTAATGCAGTGAACTATTCGAAGTAATGTAAAACAAATAAAAAGTTGCATTGCAGTCTGACAGATCAGTGTACAATAATATTTGATCCAAATTAAAGGAATGTCACACTGGCAGGCTCAATAAGCTGCTCACTAGGAAATTACACATATCACTTACATAGATGTCATGTCATTAAGGGCGTGGTCCAGTTCCTCGCTGATGGCTTTGTACTTGAGTTTCTGTGCATAAAGCTCATCTGTATGTCCACACACCAATAAAAAGTAGGTTGTAAAGGAAATGGGAAAACACAAGAGAAGTGAAATTAGTATTGTGATAAGATCTTTAGGGACCAGAAATATGGCAATGCAATAGAAAGAAACTGGTTAATCTGGTTAGAAACCGGGTTCAAACTCAGGACATTATTGGTCCACATCCATTGTGGAAATGGGGGAACAGAAAGTTAGGTAGACCCATATAAATACAATAGGAATGGAACGTACATTAACCTGTTGTCCATAGTCATTTGACTAGTACAAAAGAAAATGTCAGTTGTTGTTAGTTGTTATGGTGATAACACACTTTAGTGGGGCCGAAAAGTGTTGTTGTAGCTCATCTGGAGGAGAGCAGACGCAGCTCCGAAGATGTATAGTTAGCTTTGTAGCTTGTCTGTCTACAGAGCAACGGGGAGTGAGACGAAGGGACCGTGAGACCCAGCGCTGTTTAATTAATTTTATGTAGCAGGTAACGCATTAAAGCATGTGCAATTAGCAAGACAGCTAACTAGCCAGCTGTCTTATCTGCTTCATTTTGTGCGTACATTTTTTTTCTACTGCCATTTACACTCATATATGCAGTACATCTATCTATCAGCTGTCAACAAAATAATACTGTATTATCATGTACCTGAATTGATCTGATAACAAAATACAGTGGAAAGAGCTTATATTGATCACATTTTTTTTAACTTTTCTCTGGATGAAAAACGACTACTCATGGGCAAAGCACCTGTGGTTGAAGCCTTGTCAAGTAGATTGATAATGCCCCTTAAAAGTGAAAGTCTGCCGATCCTCAACTGGTGACACAGAGCCGGTTGAAGCGAATTCCTGCTAAACTAATCCGCCACTAGACTTCCCTGCAGATTTTCAGATGACTTTTACCTGACTGCTGACATCAGGGTTAACCAATGTAACGTTAACAATAGACTGGGGTGACTTCATTCTTTAGAGCTCCATGGGGCAAACGGTAACGTTTACCAAGCGCTGACGCTGAAAGCAAACCTGTTAACGCGCAGTTAAATTGTTAACAGTTATTGTTAGCTAGCCAGTAAATTACATCACACACTTTAATCACACATGATGTCGCACATTTTAATGTGCTTGCATGACTGGATAGTGCAAATTAAAAGTAACCTACATTATTTGTACAAAACTGACTCACTCATGAACATGCACTTTGAGCATAGACTCAGATGTCACTGAGTTTGTGAAAGATGACTCCCATCACTGCATCACAGATCAGAGCTCTCAACACGTCCCACTCGTATTCAAAAGGTTTGGCTGTTATATTACGCTGTATTGGTGTTTCCTTTTTTGAAAAATTTTGGTTAGTGAATTTAAAGTCTATGTAAAGGGTGCCCTTAGTGTTGGTTGAAAGTGTATTCAATGTTGTACCTTCCAGATCATCAATGGTCTTCTCCAGCTTGGCCACAGATCTCTCAGCAAACTCAGCCCGGGTCTCAGCCTGAGATGACAAAGCACAAGTCAGATAACGTCTGATGTCAAAAAACTATAGTAAACTTAATCTACAAGGGTATGTCAACCTTTTGTCTCTTAACACATCTTACTGAAGTCTCTTAGGGTGTAGGATGGTTTTATATTCAGGAAAATATTGGTCATCATTGCTTCTAGCTCACCTCTTTCAGCTTGTCGGTCAAGATCTTGATCTCTTCCTCATACTTGTCCTCCTTTTGAGAGTACTGCAATGAGAAACAACATTATTAAGATGCTGATTTCCTCTGAAAAAAAGAAGAAATGACACACATTTACATTTAGTGTGGGGCGATTCTGAAAATCCCTGGATTACCAACACCATCATTTAAGAAATACTTATTTTCACAATATCTGTGGAGGGCAGCGAGGGTTAGGGAAGGAAACATTAATGAATAGGACAAAAACTCTTAAAGGACACATTCATTTCTGCTGAAAAACTGAATGCTGGCACCGAACAGGAATAAAGGTCAAGGCCTCTTGTCTGTAATAGATGCACATAATGTAATGTAATTGTATTTTGTGGGTAATAATTATACTCACACTTTTTCCACTGAGGCTACTCTACTTCCATTTTCAGCAACACCACAATAGTACTAACATGCTCATATGCACTTTCAGTGAGTTATAGGTTGCTGCATTTTTCTGTGTCCATACTGGCCATGAAGGGATAAGCTTTTGATGCAACTACGCACAGCCCCCGGTCTATGTACAATTACATTACAAGTTACAAAATGCAAATGGGGATCTTTCAATGTTACAGTCTTAGTACCACATTTGTATTAATTAGCAGTGAAGAGGACATTTTGACCCAAACTTCACTGAATAACAGCATTCAGGACTCGCATAGACAAATACAGTCAAATACAGACGCTTGGTCAGTGGCCCAAACTATGTTCAAACTATGTAGGTCAAATATACACCGGCCTTTCTCCCATGAGCCCGCTGTTTGTGTCCCGGGTGAAACAAGAAGTCTACGTTGATTTATTTGTCACATAACTTCTGTATTTAAGTAACACCACTTATTTTAACCCAAACCGTTGTTGGATACGTTGATCTTTTTAATGCAGCAACTAATTGATCAAAACTTAAACAGGAATTAAAATTCCAGTATATAATTGATACGGTACATGAACATGGAACTGAAATATCACGATACTCAATCCATCTATTTGAGTTAGTATTGCCTGATATCAGTATCAGTGCATCCCTAGTTAGGTCGTCCTCTAGCATCAGTTCTGGACATGTCAAGGACAGCTTGTCAGTTTCCACTCGTTACATGCATAGAGTCTTTAAAAAAAATAAACTTCTGTGTTTACAGGAAACATAGAAGTTCAGAGTCAAAATACATAAATTAAGTTTGTTACGTAACTGCTGTTAGTTAAATACGTAAGTTACGTAACAAAAGTAAGTAAAATAACTAATTGCTGACTTGGTTCCACACAAACTGGGGGGCGACTGTAGCTTAGTGGTCTATGTGGACAGTGGTCCATGTCGATGTGTCCTTGGGTAAGACTTAACCGAAATTGCTCTTGTAGTCTGAGCCTTCGGTGTGTGAATAGGTATGAATGTTAGAGAGTCCTGATGGACAGGTGGTACCATGCATGTTAGCTCCTGTCATCAGTGTGTGAATGGGTGAATGATGACATGTAGTGATAAAGCGCTTTGAGTGCTCGGAAAACTAGAAAAGCTCAATACAAGTTTACCATTTACCAAGTCCTGTCCTCCCTTTGTGGACTTTCTCATTCTTTATACTATGTCAGTTGCATTACCTATCTGATACTGTCAAGGATGATTTCATATTCAACTTTGTTGAAGCTAGTTTATCCCATACAGACGCTGAAGGATGCCTCGGGGAGTCGGTATCAGACTGTGAGGGGGACTGACCAGTGCTAGTATTTGACGAGTTGGGAGTGAGACCGTGTTGGTCACAGCTAATCGTGTTGTCTTTTGACATCTGTGCATCTTTTTATACTTTTTAGGGAGTATAATAGAAATAGCTCTGTTTGTGTATTTCCACTAATTTTTCTTTCCCTTTCATTTGTTACTGTCTGTATACGCAGAATAAATAAAGCAAGGCTTGAGTTGTATCTACCTTCTCAGCCTGGGCCTCCAGAGACTTCAAGTTATTGGTGACGTTCTTCAGTTCCTCCTCCAGCTCAGCACATTTACTTGATACGTTTTGATTTCAGGAAAGGAAGGAAGGAAGAAAGGAGGGAAAGAGGTGATAGGAAGGATATCAGATTAGTTTGGAGAAACTGTGGTGAGAACTGCACATTTTAAAAAGAGTATTCAGGTCCTTCCTTTAAGTAAAAGCAGTGTAAAAATACTTTCCTTCCTCAGGCTCCTCAACTCATCCACAGAACTCCACCATTAAGAATTGTTTTGTTTTGTATTATTTCTTCTTGTGTAGCATAAAAGGAAAACATATTGCATTTCATTTTGCAATAATGTTGTAGAATAAGTCAATATTGTACCTTAAAAGTCCTGCTTTCAATATATTACCAGAAAGAAAATACAGAAGCTAAATGCACTGTTGGTACTGCCAATGTACAGTGTGTAAGTGTTAAAAGTAGAATTGCCCCTATCAGTTATTGGATCATTATCATGATAGCATGGTCATGTTATGGGTGGGGTGGAGCTATTTTCTCTGTGGAATATCAGCTAAGCCACCAGTGAGTTGCTGAGTCAAATCAAACTGCCCACATGAGCAGAAGTTAGAGAATAGTAATTGGAGTTCAACACACATTCTCCTTTGTAAGAGACGTTTGCTGAGGGGCTTAACTTTGTAACTCAGTTGGTAATGTTTCATTCTTCTTCCAGAGGCCCTGACCGACACATAGAAAGTCACATGTGGTGTGGATACTCACGCCTCAGCCAGCTCTGCCCTCTCCTCGGTTCGCTCCAGCTCTCCTTCTACAATCACCAGCTTACGAGCCACCTGGACAAACGCATTAGAAATCCATATGTATTTATAGGGCCACTACACTGTATGCTGCTGTAATCCTGTAAAGTTCCCTGCTGCGAGACTAATATAGGATTATTTTATCTTATCTTATTCATCAAAAGTCACCAGTGTGTATTTTGTGGACTGGTCAGTTAGAGTGCTGATCTCAGTGTCACTAAATTCTGTTATTGGCTTATTGTGAAGCGAACACACCATTGTCAATAGTGGTACATGAGGAAAAAGCTCCTTTGAAATGCTTGTGAAGAAGCTGCATCATAAGAAGTCACCAACTCACCTCCTCATACTTGCGGTCAGCCTCCTCTGCAATGTGTTTGGCCTCCTTCAGCTGAATCTCCTGAAGCTCCATCTTCTCTTCATCCTTCTGAGCCCTGTTCTCAATCACCTTCATACCTCTGCACACACAAACATTACTTATTTCGTACCTCACAAATATTGAAGCGTTTTCCATTTTATTCCATTATATTTTATAAAAAAGTAAATTACTAACCAGAAACTACTGGTTAAGAGTCTGTTGTGTCATAAAGGTCAGCAAAAAAACACATGCCGCATGTCTTCGTTATGTAAGGTAAATAAATGCTTGCTAACTAGTAGAAGAAAATAAATAATTATCAGATTGGTATCAACTCTACATTATGTTAATTGTAATGAAGACATGGAATGAAACATTATTATCTTTTAATTTTTAATTTAAAAAACAAAGATATTTCTGTCTAACTTTTGTCATTCATATTTCCAACCAGCTTTTTTGTGTTAGTTTCGTTCCATCAAAAGGTGGAAAAGGCATGTTTTACTTCTTCTCTCGCAGTGTCCATGTCCCTCTTTGGCGATTAGCTGGTCAGTGGGGCACACACACAGACTCACATGCACTAACGTGCATTAAAAGGCATGTGGCCGCCCGGCTATGTGAACAAAGAGGGGAGGAGCTCTGATAACAACACACACACAGAGAGAGAGTGAGAGAGAGAGAGAGAGAGAGAGAGAGAGAGAGAGAGAGAGAGAGAG